ATCCTGCCAAAGAGGAGGGCATATGGTGCTGTTTTAGAGATACCAGCGGATGTGATGACGTTCAAAATGATGAGATGAACGTCCCAAGACTACCTCCACGTCCCACGGAACAACAATGCATTGATCTTGCTCTTGTACCGATTGAAAGCCGAGAGGGAGCTCAGCTTGCGAATGAGCAATTACATAATAACGAAACAAATGAAAGTATTCCGAATGCTATAACTGGTAATGACATTCAATCTTCTGTATCACGGCCATCATGTCTATCTCCAGAAAGTCCTTTAATGACGATCCAACCAATTTCTGTTCTTCATGAAATAAATCCTACAGTTGAAACAATAGTTAATGCCGTTCAACTCAAAACAGAGACTGAAGTTAACGCATACTCTGTGCCAGTGCATGGTGAAGACTATAACGATGAACACAAGTATTTCCCGTTTCAATATAATCGAGAGTTGAGTGTAGACTTTGCTAAGAATGTCTCGGGTAAGGTAGACGATGAAGGATACCTTGTTCCTTTAAAGCCTGTAAAGACAGAAATACCATTGACATATCCACGAAACTCTGATACCACACACACTGTACAGTGTCAAAATAACGCGAGAGAAAATGATCTAGTAGAACTTAACATGGATCCTTTAAGTACAAAAACAACACAAAAACACACTGGACAACTGGGGAGGACTGAGGGTGAGGACTATTTAATTCCAATTCATCAAGAATATTTGGATACTTCTTTAACAGCTAGCATAAGTGAAGGCAACACAGCATCGGTTATATAGCTGTTTTCTACTAACGCTAAAAATGATAATGGCAACGACAATGTTGAAAACTGCGATATGCTTTTAATACCTCCTGCAAAATGTAACCCTCCTTCATGTTTTGATTACCTGGATTTGGACGGTTCGCAGGTACAAATAGACGATATTGCTGATTAGAGATATTCCGGAAGTAACCAATTTATTAGGCACATAGAAGATGACCATGATTATATTACTCCTTTAGACACCGATATGGATTGTCTGTCCTCGTCTCATGGATACCATGATTGGGATGGATCACAAACAGAATCAGTAAACCTTCAAAAAAGTTAAGGAGACGATTTAAATTAATCTGACATTGTTGATAGTAGTATCGTGTAGCCGTTTGAGTATTCAGCGCATTTATTAGATTCATAAACAAAAATAAATTGATATTGTTCAACTTCAATAGCTTTTTAGTCGTTTTTTTTTAATTGCTTAAACATTATTTTATAATTTTCTATTAAAAAAGTATTATAAAATCCCACCCGCCCTTCTTTGAACTAGTCTCCAAGGAGGTCATTTGCTTGCAATTCAATGACCCCCAGCTGCAGTGCCTCTGGGCAACTGGCCACATTTGCTTCAAATGGGTTTTGAAACAGTCTCACTTCTTCTGCCTTTGAATCCAAGTAAAAAAAAAAAGATCTATTGGACATCAACGCGTTGATGAGCTTTTTTTTTTCCTCGTGTTTTTATTAACTTTGCAATAATTGAGCCGTAAGGAAAGCTTGTTGTAAAAGTTGTTGATATAGAGATCTTGCAAAAGGTGATTGTTTGTTTAAGGCCAGATGTCTAAGTATTATCATCAAGGCTTGATTATAAATTTCGCTTTCGTTCGGCAAGCATTAATTGGCTGTACATGAACTCAATTATTGATGTTCTGAAAACAACACTTTCTAGTAATTTGTACTAAGAACGTAGCCGATTGAATCGATAATAGAATTATTTTCTTTTAAACCACAAAACCTAGTTATTCTAGGATTTTATTCTTTTATTTAGAGACATATTGAAAACAACAAATAGGTTTTTGTCTTTTTAAAAAAAGGGCCTAGTTCATAAAAATCCTAAAACATTAAATGCATCAATTGTTAATACAGTTTAAAATTTTTTTTCCTTATAACCATGTTTATTTTAATAAGTTCATACATTATATATATATATATATATATATATATATATATATATATATATATATATATATATATATATATGCTAAATGTGGCTTTTGACTAATTTCGTGATTATTCTCGTCAGTGAAGGTCAATTTCTTTTGTTCTTTTATATTAACAGAAGCCTGTTAAAATACATATTAAACATCAGCTGTTTGGCTTTTATTTATTGCATTATTTATCTTAAAATTTACATTAGCCACTTACATAATATTGAGAATACATTTACTTCTGTGTTTAACTGCACTTCATTATGTATTAAAGAATATTAAATATTATAACACCTATGTTATTATTTGATAATCTGGTTGTGTAGTATCTGCTAATGTTGTATGGCTGTCAATATCACTAACTCGGATAACTTAGTCTAAGCTTAATTGTTTTTAATGTCAAGATATTTAGAGTTGATTCCCCTGTGTGGGAGAAAATAATTGATTTCACGAGGGTTCATATCAAGTGTTATCTTTAAAATGATTTTACAAATAGGAAAGAGAGAGAGAGAGAGAGAGAGAGAGAGAAAGGGAGTGAGAGAGATACAGAGAGAAACAGATGAAAATGGTAAAACAAAATCAAATTTAAGATGATATATACTCAAAACGATAGGTTTCTGAAATACAGTTAGAATTCTCAAACATAGCAGGACCAGTCTAATGCATAAAAATAGAAAACAATTTTAAATAGAACAATATGACTAATTATTGTACACAATTTAAACATTACATTGAAAAACTAGCATGGTTCTACACGATTATCTCCAATTAAAAAAAAATCATGAATAAAAATATAGAATAATTTAAATTAGTAACGATAACATTTACTACAATTGTAAGATTAAACGCAAATTTATCAGGATATATATATATATATATATATATATATATATATATATATATATATATATATAGGAAAATTCTAGTGCAAAAAGAAGAAGGAATAATAATACACTTACGGTGTACCTCTCGTATACAGAGCATAGAACAATTTTCTATTTGGTCAAAGAAATAAAATATATTGAATACGGTTATTTTATCTTTTGAACGATTTCAAGTAATCGGAAAAGGAATTAAACACTCTCTTCGTGATAACTGTTTTTAATTTTTTCGATGAAATTGATATATTAGATAACGATTTGAAATATTTCTATAGCGCCGGAAGTGCTATATCACTATTGTCAAATAATAATAAACGAGAAAGTTTAAATAATGAATGTTGATTGAACTTTGAAATATGTCTCAAGTAAAGGCTAAGAAAGGGAATAACGGGACGGCATGGTCGATTGGCCAAGGGTTTGGCTGCAAGCCAGAAAGTCTCGAGTTCGGATCTACGTTCGCATATCTGAGTCCACTATGCTCTGTTGGGTACATATGTGGGAAAGTTAAGGCGACTGGACATAGTGCTGACCACACCATTCGTTCATAGGTCAAGATCAAGAAACATTTGAACTCTATTTCATCTGCCCAATAAATCACTAGGTCTAAAGAAGACAATTAATAAAATATCAATAGTTGCTAAAATAAATTCCAACTATACTTTGTTTTCTAATCTATTTTCTAATTTATTTTGTAACATTGTTTCTAGCAGTTTAAACATTGGAAATACCACTTACATGTTTAGTTTAATCATAATTTCAAATGCCATATCTGGCAAGTTTAAGTGTTTCATAGAAGGGAAGTAAATTGGCTGTGTTTAACCATATTGTATTATATGTAACGAGCCGACCCGCGGCGTATCATACGCCGCTATTTAGTTGTTTTATTTTCTACTTTTCAGTAATTCATAATTTGTGAATTCGACAGTACCAATGCTGCCACTGAATATATTTGCTTTAAAACACTATCAGTAGGTCGTTAAGGACAATATCCCCCTCCTTTCCACAACCCTACCCCCACCCCCATCGTGAAAACAGCCTCCTATTAGTTACCTCCCCTAAGTTTAAAATCGTTTCAAACTAAATTATCTGCCCCATTAGCCGTCACTAAACCCGGCTCTACGATTGTAACCATTTAGCGTGAACCACAGCTCACCAGACCATGTAGGGGTGGGGGTGGTAGGGAGCGCACTTCCAGCTTGGTGTTTTCTAGGGTCTCCAAAAAGAGAATTATATATACATAGATTGCATTGCTTGAAATCCAGATGTAATATTTTATTCCACAATAGAATCTTGGTTTACTTCCAAAATATTATTTTCCTGACAATTACTACTTATTACACTGTCGACTCTTTGTTAAGTTTTAATAAACAAAATGCCCATCTCTTCAGTAAAATGTTAACTATTCACAACGAGTTGGAATCAAAATAAGAAAGAAAATAGCAGATCAATAGTCAAAGTGTTTTGATTATTTATTTTGCAAATTGAATAACTAAGCTTATGTAGCTACATCATACTAAATTTGTCGTCTGTGTAATACTTTTTCCTACCAGTTACTTTAATTATGATTTACTTTACATACATGTAAATACATGTATTTAGATACTTTATTGAGAAAAAAATATTTATCAATTAATGCTATGTATTCCATACACATTTTCATATATATTTTATTTACATTCGAATATTGCAAATTTTAGAATACCCTAAATAAATAAAAACATCTGATTCGTTTCTTAACTATTTTTTAAAAGGCACGCTATTTTACCGTAGCATATGTTGCGCTCCTAATGTCATTTTATTTTCCAGCTATCGGAATGGCAGAAACCACAGACGTAAGGTCACAGAAAAACTAACGACTTTAGCTTTTGTGGATAATCTCAACGTCGACAACCACCCCTATGTTCGGTCCTTACTCTTAAAGCGAAGACGCTTCTGAAAACAAACGCAATTTTACAGGCCTTCATCAAGAGGTAGGCCTATATGTCAACGACAGTTTACCAGAAATGGTTTACTTTGATATTGATCAAGTTCAGAATGAGACCTCAGTCTGACAATAACCCGGAAGTGTAAAACAGTTGGCTAGATGATGACCTCTTCATGTGTGTTCCTGTTTCAGTTTTATCTTTTCACAACCACGTTTATAAAAATATGGCTTTATTT